AAATCGAAGAAAACTTTTATAAAGAGAAGTGCCAAGTGTTTCGAATATGTATCAGAGAATCTTTAAATCGGTCTCTCCGGATCCCATTACCGTACTCCAGTTCATATTGCAAGGGTTAAAAAACTCATCCCGGAGACCGATGAATGATAATTCCCATTGCGTGACACGTTCATTTTAATCCCTCTCATGGATCTCGCCTCGCTCGCTTGACCAAAGAGTCTTCGTTCACGGCCAGACCCACGGTTCAAAGAATTTACGAGGTTCGTTACGTTCGCGCGACGCTACGCGACGCGACGCGACGGCGGAACGCAAATGTTTGTTTTTAATTCGTTCCGGTATTTTCCTTGGAAAAGAGGACAAACACGTGTCCATTAATCCGATATCTTTTCCGCAAGAAACACGTACATGAAATTACTCGAATTAATTCCGAGTTGAACGCACACATCCCGTCGATCCCTTTAATAAACTTTTTTCGCGCGACGGCATGTTTTCCGCGCGCGATAATAATTACGGTAAACCGAGCGCATTGAGGAACGCGCGGGCGTTCCAACGCGCGAACGCGAGAATAATTGAACTGTTTACGCAGTCCGCGTAATCGAAGAGCGTTGCAGCCGGAATAAAGGTTCTTTGTTGCGTTTTATTTTGTTACGTCGTTATTTATTAACGAGAATGGGCACCGAGCCGCGAGCAAGAAAATTATGTCCAGCCCGAGGACTCAATGGAGATAACATAAAAGATATCATCGCGGAAGCGTATTCGCGTTACCTCTAAAAGCATCGGATTTATCGTTATTATTTGCTCCCAGTAATCAAGGGAGGCGAAAACGTTCGACCGGTATTTTATTAAGTTCCGCGCACCCGCTCGGAACGGAGTTTAATTATAGTGTTTCAGGCTATACGGAAAGAAAACGTGGGAATAAATTAACTAATAGAATTGGAATTTAATCTGATCCGCATATGCGGCGAACGGACCCTTTGTCGTGCGAATATCTTATCTTTTCAATAATTCCCGCGTACGGATTGAAACGAATGTAACGCGAGGATACACCTTTACGCGTTTCCTAAATTACTAGGAGCTTTTTGTTTGTTTTTGGTCAACCGTAATTTTCGTAGTAATTTTACATGATGGGACCGGCCGAGGATATAAGAGTTATTTTTTTTGTACGAGCAGGAACTGGGTCACGGCACGGCCTTTTGCCACCCTGCAATATCAGTATTGCGTTTGACAATGGTAACCGTAATGAACGGACCACACAGAGATGGTTCGAAAAGTTCCGTTCTGAAAAGGAGAATTTAAACAATAAGCATCGTGGAAAAGCCACCCTTGTTGATGATGACCGCCCGCGGGCACTGACGGATGCTGATCCCTCTCGACCTCGCGTAACAAAAAACAATGCGATCGGATGATGCTTATTCCAAGCAGAAACTGTTCGCATCAAACTGAAAATAAAAGGTATTTTTAATTTCTATTGGAAAAATACAGCACTTACCAATACAGCATATCTCACCTGGAATTAAATGCTCGAAAAATATTTCATTCAAAACATTCATTATCCGAAACTATTGTAACTGCGCTTGGAACATTTCGTCGCATCAATAACTCATTCCATAATATTTAATACCAATTCTCTTGAATTCTCTTGAATTGATGTTAAAAATTATTTCTCTGCGTCAATTCTCACTGAAGTAAACGTGCGCATAAATAAACATGGAATTCTTAGTAAATTACTCACGATAAATCTAGTAATTTCCAATAAAATTTTAATAAAGCGTCTAATAATTTCTACGAACTATTGATAACAGATCCAGTAATCTCTAGCAGATTGTCAATAACAAATCTAACAACTTTAATTAATACCATATCTAATCGTTTCTACAAATTATCACCAACGCGTCTACTAATTCCTGAACTTTTAACAACGCATCCAACGATTTCAACTAAACAATCGACAAGCACATAATTCTAGTAAACGCAGTTATAAAAGGAATCATAACGTTACGAGTAACGTGTTCAGATAAAGCACCATGTATACAACTAAGTATGCTCGTCGAGAAGAAGGAAACGTCGAGGCTCGAAGTGGAAATGGTTTCCCGTGCATCGAGGGAGGAAAATCTCTCAGACTGTTCGTTTACAGGGGTGGTATTTACGCGGGGTGTCGCGAACGAGTAGCGCCGGCGGAGTCCGGATTGGGGTTTGAAAAAGGGGCTGGAGAATAATTTGCGGCGTCGGACCAGCGTCAAAAAGGCGTCTCGCGTGAAAAAGCGCAATATGTCGCGGGATAACGTTCCCCCGAGTCGTTTGTACCTGTTGAAGCGATCGCGCGCACCACGAACGTTCTCCGTGGCAGCATCGCGGCGGCCGCGCGATCGTTCGGCCATCCCTATCGACTTAAACTTCAACTTCGACTTTATGCCTGCCACCGGCGGTATCTTCGCGAAGCCCGAGGAATTCGAATGGCGTCGCTCGCTTCCCGGAAACATTACGGCGATCGGAAAGAAATTTCGACACTCGATTCCTCAATCCTGATACTTTTATCCTCGCTAGGGGTGGGATCGGGCGTATCGCTTTCGCTACCGGAAACAGTTTGGGGACGCCAGCGCTCGTAAATAGACCCGGCGATTCAATTTGACGTACTCGTGTCACACGTTTTTAACACTTTGTCTGGTACCTCGCTCGAATTCGGATGCCACCATTTTTTTTCATGTTAATTTGAAGATTTACCCTTTGCACAAGTTTTCGCTGAAAATACGCGATATCATTTGACAAGATATAGACGACATTCTTTGAAATCGACTTAAGAAAAAGTCAGATATAAAGGAATAACAGTAGTTGATTTCAATGTCTTACTAATACATTATGCGAAGGTTAATGTTGAATATTAAATTTGATCATTTTGATGTGTTAAATCGTATGGCGACTGAGGGGCACTTCTGGAGTGCAAAGGGTTAATTGCTTGACTACTTATCGAGTGAACCGAATTTTAATTGATCTATGAGGTGTGAGAAAGATAGTGTAGTCGTTAGAAAGGTTCTTGATTTCTTAGTTTCCTTGGAGTTTATATTTGTCAAAGTGTTAAGGGAACTTTGTACTTGCTGAAAGTGAGTGTTGTATTGTTAAATGGAAGCAGTATTATTGGTGATCTGGTTTTAATGAGCGATTTTTGGGATTTATGAAATTTAATGAAATTTACTGAATGAGACGTTGGAGTTATTTTGGTATGTCGGATTTCAGGGAGCACGCGAAACATAAATATTGTTTTATTAATAATATGCTTATAATTTTGTTTGTTGGATGTTTATTTAGAACGCGAAATGTCATACTTCATTCCTTAATGGCTGCACAGTCTGTGGATTTTAGAATTGATAAGTACTGTTTGGGATCGACGATCTTTATTTCACCTACAAACAATCCAGGGATACTTTCATTACGAAAGCAAAGTTTATTCTACAAACAATATAGAGAACAGCTTAAATTGATACGCGATTTGCGACATTCGTTCATAACTTTCATTCACGGTAGCGGGATTAAATAAACCAGCCAGTGAAACTCGGCTCTCCGCGCGGTTACCTATACAATAACACCAGTTCCTGAATAATAATGAAATTCTCCGGAATCATCTGTATCGTGCCGACATCACATTAATTCGTAAAAGTGTACCGAATCATGCCAAATCGAAAAATATAGACAGCCGCGCGAGATGCAACAAGTTAATATTTAACAGATTTAATTCAAACAGAGACGAGAGACACTTGTTACTTGAGAACTCTTGTTACTGGCGCCTCGAGTTATATAATTTTGGAATAATTCACTGCCGATCTCTCTATAAAAAGAATTATATTCTCCAGCCAAACAGTAGCAGCCAAACGTTCCTGTAACACAGATTGTAAAATTCCGAGAAGAACATATAAAATATAATTTAATATAATAGATCGAATACAGTTTAAACAAAACAGTATTCCATCGTACAAACTGCCATACATAAATGTTAAAAAATCAAATATTAATACCATAATAAAACCAAGTAGCTTTTTATATATTTCAAACAAAATACCATTTTCGAATACCATTTCAAAATTTCATTTCATCAAGCTCGATTTTCAAGTTTAAATGCTATCGCAGAATAAAATACCATACCATCCAAAACAACAATCCACTCATCACTGCCCCATCGAATTCCTTACCAGCCTCAAGAACCTATCAGACCCTACCTCACAAATTATCTCATCAACCGACTACCTAAAACAAACACCGAGGAGAAAAGAAACGATAAAGAGCCACGATCGCAGCGATCAAGACTGCGAAAGGGGAAGAAGAAAGGGTGGT